CTAGTTTGCAAACGGGCTGAGTGCGGCCAGCTACAGGCCCTGCGGGTTGGGCCGTGCTGGCCCATAACCATCATGCCGGGCTTGGCACGGCCTGCGGGTTGTTGTGTCGTGCTGGGTCGGTCCAAATTTGTGTTGGGCCGTGCCGAACCGCAAACGGCACAACCCGATTTACACCTCTAGTGATAAGAAAGTCAGTCTAGCAGAGGTAAGGGGGGTGTCTTTCCAAAATCTTTGGATCTAAAGTAGCCTATTGTTAGACCTGTTCATGGGTTGGGTGGCCCGACGGGTTGGCCCGGCCCCCGGACGGGCTTGGACATTCTTATAGGTTTGCGGGCTTAAATTCGGGCCAAAAAGCCCAGCCCGTAATAAATTCGAGCCGGGCACGGGTTTTGTCAAAATAGCCCGGCCCGAGCCCGGCCCGACCCGACCTAATATTAAACTTAAAATTAGTTACGTGATTATGTCCATTTGAATAAATTTTTTGATTTAAGAATGTAAAATTATGTTTTAAAATATAAAAGAAAGGGAAAAATACCATCTTGTAGGCCCATTGTTCATTTAAATAGGAAAAAAAATACTATCTGAATTTTTAATTCTAATTTGAATAGGGAAAATTGTTTTTTTTTTTTCAATTAGGTCGAGCTTCGGGCTCGGGCTCGGGCCTAGTATATTTTCATTAGTGACAAGCGAAAGCCCGGCCCATAAACAGATCTACCTATTGTGGAGGATACTCCAGAGGAACCCGGATTTTCTGCACTCGCTTTTGGTGCATGAGGTGGTGCACTTCTAATCAGATTCAACCACGTCATATTCTCTGCATGGTCCATGTCTTAAATGCGCGAATAAAATTAAACGGCAGGTGTTATTTCTCTAAAATTCTTTTTTCTTTTTTGGAGCTTAAGAAAAAAAGTAAAAAAAAAAGGAATTTGACTGTGTAGTTTGAAAAATGAGAGAGGTTAAACAAAACAAATGGGGAAACTCAAACGAATGGCTTGCTTGCAAAACCGTAGATGGATTTTTTTTTTTTTTTCTGCAAATGCAAGGAGTAGAAATCCTTTAAATGCAAGAAAAGGGATTTTTTTCTATACTGTTTTGTATTCTTCCTTGGGCACCATTAATAAGAGCTTTGCAGATTTTTCTTTCTTCAATGAATCGTTTGATTTCATCAGCGTTTTTTAATTTCTTCTTCTTCTTCTCCTTCTTACTTTGAGGATCTTGTTTTTTTACAAATGAAGCTACAACAAGAGTATTATGCAACATCAATCTGCACTTTGCACCAAGTTAAGCAACGGACCAAAACAAGTAGTTGGAAATCACATCTAAACCACCCATGTGCTTATGTGAATCAGATTCAGTGAATCTTAAAAGGAGTTTGATTTATAAAATTACGGTTTTTTTTTTCTAGTAATAATGATTCTGAGAAAAATGTCTTCTTGGTTCTATACTATAAATGCATTTGAATGCAAAGAAATTTGATGACTAGAAGTTTAATTGAATTCTACGCCTTGACTGAAGAACAATCTACTCATACAAATCGTTTTTTAATGGTGTACGCTTGTGACTGAAACATTTTCTGATAGCAATGGTTCCCTCTTGATTGAAGAACAATCTATTCCTACAAATTGTTTTTTAATGGTGTATGCTTAGAATTGAAGTTTTTCTGGTAATAACGGTTCCCCCTTGAATGAAGAACAATATATATCTATTCCTACAAATCGTTTTTTAACGGTGTATTTTCATGACTGATTTTTTTGTATTATTATAATGGTTTTGAGAAAAATGTCTCATCTGTTTTGTTTACCTCCTCCATCTATCAAACTTGATAGTCAATTTTTTTTTTCCATTATTTTAAGTTTTAAAAAATGAATTTTATAGACAAAACGTCCCAAACTTTCCGTTTAGTTTAATTCAGACATGCGAAACAAAGGACCATGTAGAAGGTGACATGGTTGAATTTGATTAGAAGTGCATCACGTTCCACACCAAAGCAAGTGTAGGAAATCCGGGTTCGAAAAACTACCCCTACCAAACGCAAATACAATTTATGGTTCTTTTCCTTCGTTCCCATTCATAGACCTGTTTTCTCTTCATATCTTATATAAACCAAACGTGCCAACAGGCTCATTTCATAATATCTTTGGCTGATTGTAGTGGAAACTTCGGATTTATTCTCACTGCCCAAATCACCACCTTCCATTACCACCAGTTGGTCGTAGTGGAGACTTGGGATTGATTCCCACCACTAGGTGTGTAAATGGATCAAATTCAAATCAAACTAAGCAATATCTGAATTTAAATCCAATTAGAAAATTCAATATCCAAATTCAATTTGATATTCGATGGATATTGAAAATCAAGGTCCGAATTTGAATTCAATTAAATACTCAAATATTTGACTCGGTTAATTATTTTAGGTAATTAATAAATATAAAATAAATATTGTATTTATATAAAGTATGTAAAGTATATAAATTATTTATATAATTTAACTATTGTATATAAATTATATAAAACATTTAAATATTTTATATTTTATATATATAATAATTAAATAATCGGTCAAATTCGAGTATTTATTGAATCAAATTAGGTCATATCTGAATTCTATTTGATTATGTCAAAATCTCAAATTCAAAATTAGATTTTTGATTACTGTTACCCACTGCCCAGATCACCACCTTCCATTACCACCAGTAAGGGCACTCTTTAATTGATTATAAAATATAAATGATGGGATATGCCCAAATCAGCGCACCTAAGAAAATTTAGTTCCTGTTATTTCAAACTTTCTATTAGCTATAGCTAGTATGGAAATCTCAAAGTTAGAAATTGTCACTATTTGGGCAGTACTGAAAAACTTTACTTAAATAGAGACAAGATCTTAAACCTCTAGGCATGAGTACCTTGATTAATATTTAGGGAAAAGTACGGAGGCACGATCCAGAATTCTGAATTCCAGCCCCCCTACAACTAGCCCTGTCCCCCCCCCCCTAAAATCACATCCTGCCCGTGAATTTGATATCAATTTACGGTCAGGATGCATTCTCCCTATACTTCGGGCCTAGTAAATTCTGAACTGGACTGATTTGTACTTCTCCCTAATATTTATGAATTCCTCGTTGTAGTTTAAAATACAAATGCTTACAATATGGTTGATAGGATACGTTGAGGCTCCCATTAAAGTTTCAGCCCTGAACATAGAGAGGAGTTTATAATACAAATGTTTCTGTAAATTAACCTACACCAATTAGAGCACGACAGAGTTATTTTATTCTATCAAATCCCAAACTGAATTTCCGATCCATCTGAAGACATCTTGAATTATTCCCAATCTCCAATGTCCCACCCCTACTACTTTCTCCTCTCAATCCCACCCAATTACCATCGCCCACTCTTGACCCTTCTGTAGATGGCATTCCCTACATGCTTAATCATTATATCCAGCTCTAACGGCCACAAGCATCAACGTCTTACTAGAAATAGAAATGAAGTAAATAATTCAAACAATCGACCAAAAAGACCACCAGAACTCTCGATTTTGTCGTCGGCATTGATCCTGTATGCGATTCTCTGCCAGGGAAATTTGTCTTGAACCCCATTCGGGGCTGCCAGTGGAACACCCATTCGAACAGACTCTACAGCCTTGCATTAAAAATATTCCCAAAAATTGCAAGAGGCTGTTCAAACATGGGCTTGCACTCACCGACGCCGATCTCGACCTGTAACACAATCATTTGACATTTCCGTGGAGGCTCCTTGATTTTATAGACTGCCCATTAGTCCTAATTACTTTTTATATAAAACCTGTTCCCTCAAGGCAAGCCCAATTGACCTTCAAACTACATGCCTATCTGTCAAAGTAATCAAAATAAGAAAAATTATAATCCCGCTACTAATATTCCATGCACCCTATAGGCCTGTAGACAGCTCTAAACACCCCTCTCTCCCACCAAAACCAACAACAGAAACCCAGAATCCAGCCCCATTCTCCAATTTGCATTCTCAAAGCCGCACGTGTTTCTCGTCAGACCAGGTCGACACCATGCTGCATATCAGACAGTTGATCATGTAATATATTAATTAATTGTCATTAAATGGTCCCAGAAACTCAATCTAATCTCAAATCGGGTTTTGAAAGAATCTGGTACAACCAGACATATTTGCTGGCATGCTTCCCAACCCCCTGCCATTCTGGAAAGCCACCGAGCTTCATCCACTCTCCTAGATGAAACCCCCCACCCCCCGGTACTACTGTATGAACCAATGCTCCACTATATAAATATCCCAGACTTTAGAACTGGAGTTCCATCAACATATCAGGCCAGAAGACTCGCAAGAAGGCGCATCTACATTTCAGCCCATATGAGGAATAAGGTTGCTGATGTTCCTGCTGCTGCATTTGGCAATGGAGGTTTTAAGGGAAGGAGGCTTCTACCCAAGAGAGGACAGATAAAGTCCAGAATAGCATCCAGCGCCTTCTATTCCATTGTTTCTGTATTTTCCAGAGCAACTTCACAGGGCTTACATTCAAATCAAGAACCCTCTTTCAAGGGAAGCCAAAAAATCGGAAACGATTGATTAATAACAAGCACTGTGTTGTATTGTCAATGACATCCTTAATGCATCTAATTTGTTTGAATGTCCTCATTTTCAAATCCAAGCACTTCAATTGATAAGTGATTAAACTATACAGTGTCTAGAATGAATAACATGCCACTATGAATAGTTTCCCGTCACTAGTACATTTCAGCAATGACGCCATAGGAGCTATATACTCAGATACTGTATCTTGAATTCTGTTGTGGTTCTGTAGGTCATTGCTGTTGTTGAAGGGTGTTCTCACCCTGATTTTCAAGTTCAGAGTTTGATGGCTTGTTGCCAACAGAAATTAGGTTTTTAAACCATGCAGCTTGAAATCTGGGGCTACCTCTGTTAGAATTGCTTGGGGATTCTGGAGTGTCTGCCGAATTCGAGTTAAGGCCCATGAGGAATCGGTATGCAACTTTGCTAGCAGATACAATCTCTGTCTTAGCTTGTCTCAACTGTAAAATCACAGAACAAACAGCTGAAGATTCATTAGCACGAACCAACACAAAGAAACAGCAAATATGTTACAACACAATTTGTAATATCTCATAGAAGCTATTTTGAGTTCCATGAGGTTACAACAACAAAAAATGCAACAACAATGACGTTACAATAGCATATCACTAAATCTTTAGAGTCCAACCATCTAGACAATCCCCTCTATTAAGATTTGGAGGCACCTATCAGTTCCTTAAAAATCACCACAAAACATCCATTTCCAATTTTCCATATCATTTTCTTCTGTCTCAAATTTAAATTCTGAAACTTAACCATGGACAGAGATCCTTAACTATTTGCAGCCACATTATAGTGAGCTATAGTTAAAATCCTCCTAATTATTTGGTCTGCTTCAATTCATGCCTGTGCACCTCATTCATCAGTATAGCATCTAAACTTCCCCCAGTAGATTTTCTAATCCAATACCAGAACATTTAGAACTTCATGAAATAAAATATGAATCACATATAATAATCGTCGAATAATGAATACATATACTAGTGACAGGGTGGCAAGGGTTCTCTAAGATGAATAAAACACCCAAGTTAATTGAAAACACAACAGATTCCAATGCTTCATAGATTCCTGAAGGCACTTCTACATATAGGGTGCAACTCGAGAGGTTGTCAGGTTGGGTTGAGTTTGGTTTTAAGGCAAACCTAAGCCCAACCAAAAGACCTGGACATCAAGTCCACACCTGGCCCAATCTGAGGTCAAAGTGTGAGTTGGATATCCCAAGCCCAACCTGAAGCTAAAACCATTGCAGCAACTCAGGCTGGGCATGGACATGGTAGGCTTTGGCAGACGTGGGCAGGTTAATTGGGTTTTAAGGTCTTCTTGTTCATTCCTTGCACCTATGATACATGGATACCTGTACAATGCTGGCATATCACGTTGGATATGTCAATTTTTTGTGTGAATTTTATCTACTCCAAAAAATCACTATGTGAAGGATGACTTCTGAGCCAAAAATAATTTTTTAAGCTAATTTTTTTAGCTTCAAAGAATCAATTATTAGAACCCAGAAAAAGAATCAATTCCAATAGTTTTCATAAATCCAAACTTAAAAGTGCTTCCTAGAATAAAGAAAAAAAAAAAACATAAAAAAACATCAGGACTAGAAAGAATGTGAAATATAGCCTTAACAAAGATAAACTTCTAAACATTTTATATAATGTTAGAATTCAGAATATATGTACTATCTGTTGGCAATTGGCATTCGGCTAATCAATGTTTCTTCATCTTGCCAAGTTGAAACCCTATACAAGTGTCACATTCCCATTCTTGTGTCCATGTCTGCAATACTGGCTAGATCACCAGCAGTCCAGAATAATGCCAACTGCACATATCAGAAGCTATGCTTCCCCAATCAGAGGGCCCTTTGGCACGTCTTTTTGGGAAGATCTTCTGGTAGCTCTGACAGTCAAAAGACGCATTGAGCTTCTAGTAGCTCGGATTCGAATTTTGATGAATCCGATCCATTTACAGCCCTAATCCACAAGGGAGTTAGGCAGGTCTTGAAATCCTAATGAAGGCAATTTTTTATTGTTGCAGTTGCATTATGTAGATTCTAAAGGGATGGACAAAGCCCCATTTATAGTATATGTTCAACCATGGGTTAAAACAACACAAAATGGAGGTGAAGCTGTTGGGCACTAAAAATCACTCAACCATGGTTTAAAACAACACAAAAGAGTTGAGAGATGTTTGGACTTCCAAAACGTCTCCCACCCTCTTATATCTTCCCTTTCATTTTCCAAAGTCTCGAGGGAAAGAACACAGAATGAGAGAGATCTCCCCCCACCCCCTCTCTTTCTCTCTTCTAGGCTATAAACCCTACAATCCTCTGCTCTCTCTTCCTCCTCTCTCTCTCCTTCTTGCAACCAAACCTGTAAGACACCACCAAATGTTTTCTAGGAAAAACAATAATGATGGTCTCTCTATCTCTCTTATACCTTCTCCCTCGATTTCTCTATCTTCCCGATAACACTACCCTCCCTATCTCCTCTCCAAGATTTTTTTTGGAAAAGGTAAGGTAATTTTATTCAAACCCTTCATCTCTTTCATTTTTCTTCAATCTCCATGACCACCAAACAATTAGAAAAAAAAAAAAGCAACATAGAACTCATTTCTTTGATTTCTTCTAGTAGAAGTTGCTGATAGCAGTTTTAGATGAATTCCTTGTGAAGAAAAGATCCTTCCTTCAGGTATCATAGACTCCCTTCTGGTACCCCAGATGATCCTTCCACAAAAGATTCCTTTTTTGTAGGACTAGAGAAAAGAGAGAAGAGGCAGCCGCTCTCTCCAGAAACCTCCAAAAAAGGTAGGACTTGAACCGCCCTCTTCAAAAAACTCCAAGGAACCCTAAAAAATTAGGGTGCCACTTCCTAGGTCAAAATTGAAGAGTCCTACAAAAACAGGACTCTCCCCCTTTCTCCAGTTTTTCCTGAATTTGATGGGAAACCCTAGACCAGCTACAGGGCAAAACAGATCCACCAAAAACTGGGCTTACCTGAGATCTTCGATTAGCCTCTCAAATCACCATGCAGTCGGCCGATCTAGGGCTGCATGATAGAGCAGCTCAAGGAACCTTCAGCCTGCTCTGATACCAAGTAGAAGTTGCTGATAGCAGTTTTAGATGAATTCCTTGTGAAGAAAAGAAGAAGTTGAAAGGCTTCAGCAGTAGAGAAGAAGAGAGGAGAAGAAAGAGAGTGGGATGTTGCCCAGAATTGAATTAGTTCTGGCTGTCAACCCCTCTTTGAATTATAAACTTGAATTAAAATAATGAGGGATTACAAGAATGCCCTTAGTAGGGCGGCTACTTAAGTAGCTGAACAGTCACAACTAAAAAACATAAACTAATGGGCCTAACAGCCCAATAACTTCCTAACTTAACAACTTAAAAATAACTTGAAATCGGCCCAACTCAACACTTCTCAATTTCTTTCTTTATCTCTTTCACTAGCCAGTTTCGTTTGTTTCTTTTTCTAATGCAATGTGCTTTGGTCTGTGATGCAACATATTGCAGGGCATTTAACACTTGGGAGTTCAGATGAAAGGATTATTGCCAAATGGTATTCAGGTAGGGTTCTCTCAAAAAAGAAAACCCAGCATAAGTTTTGCTATCGGTTTGCATGCTTAGCCATTTACAGCATTGACGTACAAAGAGAGCTATCTTTGCCAGGGAAGAATGGAAGCTTCTTTTATCTTACATAGGATGACTGGTTATGTTAGTGTAGGGGTATTTCTGTCTTTATACTTATTTTGAGGTTGCTGATCTGTAATATTATATTATTAGAACTAGTGTCCCTCAATTAAGGGCACATGTGTCTTTTCCATTATGTTAGTAATATAAAACATGTCTGGCCGAATGGGAGAGGTAAATTTTTCTCTCATTCGAACCAGACTTTTCCTCTCCTTTTCTCTCTCTCTTTCTTTCTTCTTTCTTCTTCTCTCTTCTTGGTTGTTATCAGACTAACAGAACTCAAGGGCAGGTCTGTTAGTAAGTTGACCAAGTCACTCAATTGCTCTATTACTTTTTACCCTTCTTTGTGTGTTTTTCAGGATCTCAAGACGGGGATGAAGATTGGTGGAGGGCATGAAGCTGGTGGATTGTATTATCTTGACGGTGGTGGAAGAACATCAACAACTCTCCAGTCATCTCTCTCTCTCCTCTCCAGTGGCACTGTCGATTTGGTCATCCTTCGTTGAAAGTTTTGAAATCTTTGGTTCCTTCGTTGAGTCAAACTTTCTGTTTTAGATTGTGAGTCGTGTCAATTGGGGAAACATCATCGTTTTCCCTTTAGTCGTAGGGTTGATAACCGTGTGTCGACTCCTTTTTCTTTGGTTCATTCAGATGTTTGGGGTCCTTATAAAGTGATGTCATACAATGGATATAGATATTTTGTCATTTTTGTTGATGATTATTCAAGGATGACGTGGCTCTATTTACTGAAAGAAATGAGTGAATTGTTTACCATCTTCCAAAAATTTTATGCTGAGATTCGCAACCAATTTGGTGTTCACATTAAAATTTTTCATTCCAATAATGGCCGTGAATATTTCTCTTCATCATTTCAAGAATACTTGGACCAACATGGCATTATACATCAGACCTCATGTACCTACACCCCACAACAAAATGGGGTGGCTAAGAGAAAGAATCGTCATCTTTTGGAAACAGCTAGATCCCTCATGCATCACATGAATGTTCCCAAACCCTTTTGGAGTGATGTGGTGCTTACTTCTTGCTTTTTGATTAATCAGATGCCCACGTCTATCCTTGATGGTCATTCCCCATTCACTACCTTGCTTCCCACCTTGTCTCCGTTTCCTCTTTCTCCTCGGGTTTTTGGGTGTGTCTGCTTCGTCCATAATCTGGGCCCCGGGAAGGACAATTTAGATGCACGATCCATTAAGTGCATCTTCCTTGGCTATTCCCTCCCGGACCCAAAAAGGGTATGTGTTATCATCCTAATTCTCGACATTCCTGTGTGTGTGTTGATGTTACCTTCTTTGAGTCTACTCCGTTTTTCTTGGGGTCTGGTGATGATTCTTCCTCCTCATCACCTCCTCCTCTTCCACTTCCAGTTGCGGATTCCCCTTGTTCCAGCCGTGACCAAGTCCTTGCCTCCAGTGCCACCACCTGTTGAATGGCCACCTATCCGTTAAGTGTATACACATTGCCCACATGTACCGACTGCTACTCCTCTAGCTCCATCAACGTCGACAGATCTGGCAATTGTCTCCACACCAGCCCCAAACCCAGTATCTGATCTTGATCTTCCCATTGCCTTGCGGAAAGGTAAACGCACTTGTACCCTTCATCCTATTTCTAATGATGTTTCATTCACTCACCTTTCCGCTTCCCATCACCAGTTAATCTCCTTGTTATCCTCAGTTGTTGTCCCTAAGGATGTCCAAGAAGCCCTTGCCTCTCCAGGGTGGTGTCGTGCAA